GCAGTAGAGAGTGACGGAAGCCACCCCTGCACTAACAGTCAAGTCAGAGGAAGGTACCATTCCTCTCTCCAGGGATTCTTGGAGTTAAGTGAATACAGGTAGTCCTCAAATTATGATCACAATTGAGCCCAAAATCTATGTTGCTAAGTGAAAACATTTGTTAAGTGAGTTTGTCCAATTTTACAACTTTTCTCTCCACATTTGTTAAGTGCAGTTGTAAAATTAGTAACACTGTTGTTAAGTGAATCTGGCTTCCCCATTGACTTTGCTTGTCTGAAGGTTGAAAAAGAGGATCACATGACCCCGGAATACTGCAACCGGTCATAAATGTGAATCAGTTGTCAGGCATCAGGATGTAAATCACATGACCATGGGGATGCTGCAATGGTCATAATTATGGAAAATGTTGCTAAGTCACTTTTTTCTCTGTTGTCGTAACAGTCACTAAGCGAACTGTTTTAAGTCGAGGATTCCCTATATCTGATTTCGGTGCTGGTTTACAGGATTTGAAAAATAGTGGTGCCCTCTAGTGACATGTTATATTTTTGCGTGCCAGATCTGTAGCCCTACTTAATCTCATGGTTTCCCTATTGGCCTCTTTGCAGATTTTCAGATCATTTCTGAAGTTTGAGTCCTACGAGATTGGGCAGCATACAAATTTATTAAATTTCAATTTCAAATTTCAAAATTTTTGAATCCAGGGGTGGGCTGCTGGGGGTTCGCGGGGGTTTGGGAGAATCTCTAGCTAAGATTCTGTGCAGTTCGGAGAACCTCCAAATCCAACTTCTGGCTGGCCTCGCCCGACCCTGCCCCTCCCAGGAGTCCCCACACTGCTTGTTTTGGACTCAGGTAAGTGCAGATTGTGTGCGGAAGCTCGGGGAGGGTGAAAAATGGGCCTATCAGAAGTTTGGGAAGGCACTTTCAGCCTCCGGAGCCTAGGGAGGCTGTTTTCACCCTCCTGAAGGCACAAGGAAAGCCTCTGGAGCCCTGGGAAGGCAAAAACACCGCCCCCAACCCAGCCGTGGTGCAGGAGGTTAAGTAGGCCATGCCCACCATGGCCACAGCCACCCAGCAACCAGGCAGAGAACCTGTTGCTGAAATTTTTGAAGCTCATCCCTGTCTGAATCTAAGGTATTTTTCTCTAAAGGAAAAGGTATGACTATGGGAATTATAGTGAGTAAACTGTCCTAAGCCATTCAAAGAGAAGATCAAAACTCATTAAGCTAACAATGTTGTTATTGGGTGTCATGTTCGTTGCTCAAAACAATAGGCACTTGTACAACAGTTGGGGCTGGCAAATAATGAAAAAGCAGATTAAAAAAAAAGACACACATTTCCAAATGACAACAGTAATAGTAGTGATCATACCACAATGCCATTCTGTATGTAAACGAAGACTTTATTGCATGAAGCTGCTAGAGGAAAGAGATCCAAACAAAAGCTATAAATAGATATTTTCCACTTTCCATCAATCCCAGAAATAATAACATACAGTTTCATTCTTGATTTTCCACAAACATTTGGCTATGGAGGTAAAAACACTCAGGACATATCAGCTTAAAGAACCTTTCATGTGAATCAATCTTAACAAGAAATGGCTCAGAAATTCTATTCTCTTTTTAAAAAATGTATCTACTTTTTAAGAAAATCATTTTTGCAGTAAATTTTAATTTAATTTGAAAATTTAAAATTAATTAATTTTTATTTACTTAATATCTTCTAATTGAATTAAAGCAAAATTAATTCTATTTGAATTTGTATTTTTTATATTTATATAAAGAAATTCAGAGCACATCTGTTTCTCCAGGTGCCTAAAATTATGCTTCAATTGGTATTATGGTCACAGACNTTTCAATGGCAGCCGAAGCAGTAGCAAAGCAGAGGCTGACACGCATGCCATCGGTTCGCCATCCTGGGTACAGGGTCTCCTACTTGAGTTGGGGGATGGGCTAGAAGACCTCCAAGATCTCTTCCAGATCTATTCTGATTCATTAAGCTGTGCTGAAATGCAAGTGTACCAGCAGTGGGTGAGAAGAGAGGGGGCAAGGAAAGCCCCTGGTAGGACACTCGATGGCTCCCCTGGAGGAGAAGGCTGGGAGGCACCACTGTGTCCTGCAAGGCCCATGTGGAGTTTGTTCTGGCCCAAAACCAGACCGAATTGAGGTTTTCCAACTTTCAACTGGGCTGAAATGCAACCCATCTGGAATGGTTGGGATAAACATCCGAGACATTATGTGGCAAAATATTTTCCGTTTCACGCAGTGCACAATTTAAAACGGCAGAGAATACTCCAGAAGGACTCGGAGAAGAAATGCTAAACCCTGCCCATCAATAACCAAATAGGCATTGTCTCTTTCCAACCATCTTCACAAAGAAGATGGTTGGAAAGTTAAATTCCAACCATAATTTGGGTCAAATTATTCTCCAAAGCACCAGAGGGTAGGACAAGAAACAATGGATGGAAACTAACCAAAGAGAGAAGCAGCCTGGAATTAAGGGGAAACTTCCCAACAGTGAGGATGATTAACCAAAGGAACGGCTTTCCTCTAGAAGTTGTGGCGCTCCATCACTGGAGGCTTTCAAGAAGAGACTGGACAACCACTTGTCTGGAATGGTATAGGTCTCCTGCTTGAGCAGGAGGCTGAACTAGAAGACTTTTAAGGTCCCTTCCAACTCTATTCTGTTCTGTTCTGTTCTATTCTATTCTACTCTATTCTATTCTTCATTCCATTATTCTATTCTCTTCTAATCTAATCTATTCATTCTTCATTCTATTCTATCCTCAGCAGTGAACTCTGGAACCAAGATTTTGCTGAAAGGAGCAATAAGCCATTGGCTTAACTAGGATAATGGTACTGTACTGATCTTATTCAGAATTCCCTTCTTTTTGCTGCCTTCTCCTTTGCTCAGCGTCCTTTTTTTATAACTAGAAAGTTGGCTTCCGTTTTAATAAGGTAAATTCCCTTTTACAGTTTCCCCTCATGAAAGCCTGTGCAGCTCCCCAGCCCCTCTGTGTGTTTTGGGTTTAGTACAAGATTTTCCCCCCGATTATTTCTGGGTTTTGAGATAGAAAATCCAAAGCAGCTGCCTTCTGATTTCCCTGGAGCGAAGCTGGAGGAGGAAGCCCTGGCAGGCCTCCAATCAGGCTCTGGGAACAGGGGGCAATAGCAATAGCAGTAGACTTATATACCGCTTCATAGGCCTTTCAGGCCTCTCTAAGCGGTTTTACAGAGAGTCAGCATATTGCCCCCAACA